CCCTTGTACTTTTGGACTCACTATATAACTATGAGGCAGGCTACCTCTCAGTGGTATTCAATATCTCAAAAATAGCCATCTTTCTGTCATACTGTGCTTGGGCTCCAAATTTGCTTCCGTTTTTCCAGTTCGGTGCAATAACAATTATTTGAGCATTTTCAAACAGTGAGCAATGAAGCCCTGGTCATAGTTTTATAGCAAGGCCGAAATTACAAGGGCAATTTTTAAGTGTGTTGTGGTGTAATCGGGACTGGAAGTTACTATGTTTTATATGGTGACCCGCTAACCCATTTGATCCGCCAACTGATAATCTACGTTATGGAACTAGTGCTTAGGTGGTTGGGGCCTCGTCACAAAGAGGGGGAGGTTCTCTTACACACGGCAAAAATAGCCGGGGAGAGGTGGGCAACGGACCAATCGGAAGTACCAAGGGAAGCGCCAGGTGGCTATGCTAGAAACGCTTCCGTTATCTCACGCGACCATTCATTCCCCCCTGTTGCGCAGGCTACAAGGAGGCTGAGAGGGCCGCGTCAACACCCCTCTCGCTCCTCCTCCTCCTCCTACCCCCTCTCTCCTTAAACGCACTCCTCTTTCCTCAGTTCGGTTTACTCACCTTTTCCCCCAAACAATGCTGCCCTCTGTCTTGATCAGTGCACTTGCACTGACCTCGATCACTGTTGTTGCTTCACCACTCTCTACCGGCTATCATCCCGACGCACCGTCGCAGGCCTCGCTTGCCTTTGCTCCCTTGTTGGCGGATCCGCCTCAGCCGATAGATGACTCCTACATCATCGTGTTCAAAAAGGATGTATCCGTTGATCAGATCACCTCGCATCTCGCACTCCTGCAGCAATTCACGGGTCTGAATCCCCTTTCCGCTGAGGATGAAGGAGGTGTCCAGCATTTTTACGATGGCTCTGCCGGTGTCAAAGGATACGCAGGTCGCTTCTCCGAAGCAACGTTAGACAGCATTCGCATGCAGCCAGAAGTTGACTACGTCGAGAAGGATCAGGTTGTGCATACGCAAGGAGACGTCGTCAAGGAACGGAACGCACCTTGGGTACGTCCCGCCATGTGCCTTGATCAGCTTATCTCACCTGTTCTGTCTCAATAAGGGTCTCGCCCGGGTATCCCATCGTCCAGCGCTGCGTCTCAGTACTTTTAAGGAATATCTCTATGACGAGGATGGTGGGGATGGAGTCGATGTGTATGTCATCGACACCGGGATTCGTATCGATCACGTGGAATTCGAAAACCGTGCCAAGTGGGGCCAGACCTTCGTAGACGATGGCGACTACGATGGCAATGGACACGGTATATACAAATTCGTGTGCGTATCCTCGCGGTTGGCTGACGTTATTGCAGGTACTCATTGTGCGGGCACCATCGCTTCCCGCACATATGGCGTCGCCAAGTCCGCAAATGTCATTGCTGTGAAGGTCCTCGGTGCCAATGGCTCTGGCTCTATGTCCGGTGTTGTGAGCGGCGTGAACTGGGCCGCTTCGCAGGCGTCAAAGAAGCTTGCAGAAGCCAAGGCTGAGCTCGCTCAGTCCGGAAGGACAAAGCACAAAGGCAGTGTCGCAAATATGTCTCTAGGTGGTGGGAAAAGCAAGGTACTTGATGCTGCGGTCAACGGGGCCGTAGAGAACGGCATGCATTTTGCTGTCGCCGCAGGCAATGATAACAAGGATGCATGTGACTACTCGCCCGCTGCGGCTGAATTAGCCGTCACTGTTGGCGCAAGCAGTGAGTCTGTCAAAATATCTACTGTTCTGGTCATCTGATGCACATCTCACAGCACTTGCGGACCAGAGAGCCTACTTCTCCAACTTTGGCAAATGTGTGGACGTATTTGCTCCTGGTTTGAACATTCTATCTACCTGGGCGACTTCCAACATGTCTACTAACACCATCAGCGGGACCTCCATGGCTTCTCCCCACACTGCTGGTCTTCTGGCATACCTCCTTTCCATCTATCCTTCAGCATCGTTCGACCCGGTGCTCGGTGGCTTTGTCCCCGAGGCATTGGCCTTCATTCCTCCCAAGCAGACAACTGTTTCGTATCTCAGCTCCATCCTGGGAAGGTTCCTGCCCTTCCCTCTTCTTCCGGTGCAGAATATGCTGGATTCATCGGTTGCACCGGTCCCTGCGATCATCACTCCCGCTCAGCTGAAGAAAGCACTCATCAATCTGGCTACTGAAGGAATTCTCACCGATCTTCCTGCCGGGACCGTGAACAAGCTCATTTACAACAATGCTACCATCGCCAAGTAGAGCTGCAATGGCTGTATATTATGCCGAGAACGACGAGGTTGTTTGTTTATTGCACCTGTGCATTCACCCTTGTAGATTAGCAGCACCCACCCACGCCATACTTTCTTGTTTTTATCAACCTGTCAATGCCATCCCTCTGATTCTGTCCATTGCGGACTACAATACATTTATTTGCGCGGAAACACATCGGGGAGGGTACACATGGGTCCCTGTGCACCCTGAGTGAGGTTCTGGCACACGTATCATCACTTCGGCAGTACCCTGCAAGCAAAACAAGTAGCTCTGAACGCCAGGGGCAAGAGATCCCAGACCAAGACCAGAATGATTTTGCCTTACCTCGCATTTTTCTTTTTGGGTGCCATCGTCCCGCAGGTTGCCCAGGGTGCCAATGACACACACACGGTTGGCCCTCCTCACACTCGAATGAGGCACGAGACTTGACTTTCTCCAAATAGATCCCCATAAGGACCCACTCGCTCTATGCCCCATACGTTGATCAAGACTTGCAGAATCGGTAATGCGTAACATGCGATCCTATGTGTCACTTACACTACCCAGATGGTTTGACTTTGGTGCCGATGCCATAGTTGTATGTCCTGTTGTCTTCGCGGTCCTTCATGCCAATTAATCTGCTTCACAGAATACAAATAAGCACATCCGGGTATATATGTGGCTCATCGCATTCTATTACTGGGTCCTAACTTGTGCTGTGAAAGTTAACCCAAGATCGACCGCATCAAATGGGCTGGCTTTGGTCTCGATTGCCGCTGTCGTCAGAGTACGCACTCCTCATCCCCTCATCATGAGCAACTGACAAAATGGAGAATTCAGTAACTTTGAGCTCGAGATTGCGTTTTCTGTTGATGGACAACACGCGCACCTCTTCGGAGACGGCATGGCCATCTGGTTAACGTCCACTCGAGCTCAACCTGGTCCGGTATTTGGGTCCATAGGTGAGAACCATCATTGTGCCAACGAGAAATTGGTGCCAATGGCATGAATCTAGACAAATTTGAGGGGTTAGGGATCATAATCGATACGTAAGGCCTTCACTTCTGATGTCAACAACCCCCAGTGCTCAGGTTATGCTAGCTTTCCTAATGCGAAGCATCCATATTCTTTCCCGCGCATCATCGGCGCGTTGGGAGACGGCACAAAGTGAGAGGCGTCGAATCACAAAATATCTCTAAATGGAATTGACGCGTTCTTTGAGATCTTATGACCTGAGCAATGACGGTGCTGGCAACGAAGATGGAGCATGCTCCGCTGCTGTACGAGGAGCAGAAATTGCCACCAAACTCCGCATCACGTACATAAAGAACGATTATTTGAAGGTCCGCTCTTCGCGCTCACAGTACGAAAATACACTCACCACTTCTGTAGGTCACCCTTCATTACAAAAGCTGTAAGGCTATAACTTCGCGCTCTCCGTCTTCTTAACGGTTATAGCAGGGGACGAATGGGCCCCTTGCTTCACAATTCCCAACGTCGTACTACCACCGAGACCATACTTAGGGTTCTCGGCTCTGACTGGTGACGTGTCCGATGCTCATGAGTGAGTTGTACTACGCATATGATTCTGCCACACTCACAACCTCGTTCAGTATTATATCAGTTCAAGCGAATTCATTTGTTACGCAAACGCCCTATAGTTCTGGCAGAAGGCAGGCCACGACGAGATCAAAACCCACCAAAGGCTGGGGCGGATTTTTCTTCAAATTGACCTTACTTTGCGTGGCGTGTTTCGGAGGGTTCATGGGTTATCGGATATACAGAGAAAAGGTAGCATCGAAGCGCTTCTAGTCAATACTCAGGCTTGGGTCACACAGACCTCGGTGCAGTACTGTTCATCCATTTATCACCAAATTGACGGACGTTATGTTGGATTCCAAGACATTGTATGTAATATGACATGCGCTGGTATAATGGGGTGTGTGCAAGCAGTAGCTCCACGTGAACACAGAAAATCAGGGCTCTCAACACTTCCGTTTCTTCTCTCAGACACCGTATCTCTGCCGTATTACAGACCGTGTTGGCTCGGGGACCTGCGCCATCTGAGGCTCCCAGTTTTCGCCGAGCATTGATTTGAAGCCGCTAAATATCTACACGCGCGGAGATCAGTCAGGAACTCGCAGTTTGAACTAAGTACATACTTGTTGGAACATTGAATTCAATTCTAGGCTTGGGGCTTGCCACTTGGCCGTGGCGTTACAGAAAGGTACGAATGCCTGATAGACATGAGCATCGTTTGCATTGCATGAAACAAACGATTACCTTAGAAATACCACTCGCGTTGTTAAGGATGAGTGCACAAAAGCCCTTGAAGGCGGAATCCTTCTCCGCATTGTCTTTGATGTCACCTAGTGCCTGGCACCTGAATCATACGATAAAATTCTGCCTTGAACTAAAATGGACGACTAGCGCACCAATGCTCGGCAAAAACATCTAAATGAGGAGCCACCACTGCTGGGAAGATATACCCCAGCCGCCCGATGGTAACAGCGGCGTTCTCCGTCAGCGACTTTGGAGACTTCGGGTGGAGCAAAATCGGAACGAGACTTTGCAGCAGTGGCTGAACATATTGTGCAAAGTCCGGATCTACTCGGCATGCTCAATTAGTAGGGGCTGATCAAACGGAACAGTTGCCAACCTGGTCCACAACGAATGGCAACCTCTCCAATAGACCACGCCGCGTTGTTACAAACACTGACATATTCAGCACGAGGTTCGCCCGAGATCTGGCTGATTAGGTCTGGCATAATGGAAGGCAAGAATGGCTTGAGCACGCTAAAGCAGTAGATTGCAAGATCTCCAATAAGAGCAAACGCCGACTGCTGCACGGCTGGCTGGGGATACTGACATAAACCAATCAGCAGGCTAAGCGCACAATAGAACAAAGGCTTACCTGCAAGCTAGCGGCGAGAAGAGTCATGAAGGAGGGGTCACTGCTCGTAATCATCGGTGCAAGTAATTCTCCCAATGCCTGGACCAGTCCGCTGAGAAGATCCAGGGACACAATGAGGTATGACTTCTCCGGCTCGTCTAGATCGGGATTTTGAACGAACGTTTGGTAACGTACAAGCGACTCGTGAACAATTCGAAGGCATCGTTGAAATATGGCAGGTGCGTAGGGGGAGAATCCAGGGCCAGCTGCGACCGTGACGGATGATAAGCACTAGTTTAGATAAATCAGGCTTCCGTTGTTAACTTAAGAAAGTGAGCACACCTCCATGAGCGGAATGAGATCATCATCATCATCCTGCAATGCGCTCCATTTCTGTTCCAAAGAAGGAAGCAGGACTTCGATGCATGCTGGTCTATTGAGTGCTTCACCCACAGAATCGGCCAGCGTTCCGATTGCATCGTAAAGAATAAGCAAATTTTTGTGCTGGTACTTGGAGAAAGCAGTAACGAGATTCTGGACGATGGGCTCCAAATACGGTGCTAAACCCGGGCCAGCTTCCTCTTCCAACGTCGCCAATGCACTGCAGCCTGCTTCCTGTACTTTCTTGTTGTTGTCTAAAACCGTGTGTAGTAACTTTCAGAAAATTAATACGCCGAACGATATCACAGCACGAAGCACATACGCCCTCTAAAGCTGGAATGAAATATTGATTCTGCTCAATGTTGACAGTGCACCAATGTGCATACCTTCCCAAAGACCAGCAAGCGATAGAACGCAGTAATGGCTAGAAGATACATGAGACGATAGAACACTGGATCTGTCGGCGACGTTACCTTAGGATCTTGTAACTGCGAGCATAAATAAGGGAGAATGGTGGGAAGATGAGGCTCCAGGGGATCCATACAACCTACCCTGTGTGAGGGAAATTCCGATGGTGCCATGCGAGACACTTACCTTCAGCAATGGCACCAAGGGCCAGTACAGCGGATTCACGAATAAGCCAATCTTGATGCCATAGTCGATCCTTCAGAAGTGGAAGCAACGTCGCTAAACAGTCTGCACCGAAACGAACAGCCAACACATCCAAAGCGGCAGCGGCGCATTTTCTCTTGTTCCATTCCGAAACGAATTCGTCGTCATCGTCGTCATAATCGTAATCCTCGAATTCTTCTTCCTCTGCCCCTCCTGCATCGCGAGACTTGAAGGCGGGCTGCGTATCCGACTGCCCCTCCCCTACCCCGTGTGACTTGGCACCATAGTGCTGAGGTCGAATGTCGCTATCTCGATCAGGTACATTGGTATCATCAATATCTGCTTCGAGCATTGCAAGATCTTCTTCGGTATAAATCATGGACTGCAGGAGCGCCGGAACAAGATTGCCTAGCAGTGGACGCAATGCATCGACGAGATCCATGTCTTCGGCGAAAGTTAACCAGAATTCACAGGCCTCCAGAGCCACAGACTCGTCTTTGTCTTGCATGGAATAAAGCATAAAAGATGCAACATTTGATATTTCGGGGACCAATTTGTCGCTCCGTTCTCGTAGCAGAATAGAGAGGCTTGTGCAAACCATTCGTCGAACGTCGGGATCTGAATCACCTGCACAGCGGAAAAGACACGCCATGAAGCCATCAATGTTCGCGTTGAAAGATTGCGATTCGATTAATGCAAACTGAGCGATTGCATTCAACGCGTGCTGCCGTATTCGTGGTGAGGAATCACTGGTCATGGCAATGAACTTCGGGATCATATAGTCCAACGGGCGTTGTCCTCCGATTTCCACGTCTAGCTTGCGTGGAAAATCTTGACACAGTTTATCCAGGGCGTCGATGGCGCCCTGAGAACCTGTGAGCAATGTTCAGAATACAAACCTTTGTGCACTCACTTCGCGTGCCCCCACATCCGGAGAGTCCAATGCAGCCACGAGGTAGAACAACCCCTGTGGCCAGTTCTGTGGTTCGAACAACGCGAGCAAAGACGCAATTAAAGTGCCGGAGTTGGTTCGAATCATTGATGATGGGTCTCTCACGGACTCCAAAACATTGGCCTTCACATATTCGACCACAGGACTCGGACTTTTCAGTAACATCCGGGCGTTATTCTTGAGAACCAAGGCGGCCACGGTTCTGGTGGTTTCTAGCTCGCCCTTTCCATGTGTGAGAATATAAACGAGGTAGCAAGGATAGTCAGCTATGGACTGAAATTGTTCAATTTGTTGCTGCAAGATGTTGCGAGTCAGATCATCAGGTATGGAGAGGCAGACCCTTATGCATACCTGAGCAACTTGCCTCTCTTCTGAGACGGGACTCGATGATTTTTTCAGAAGCTCCACCAAGTGATGCAAGCCTTCCGCCTGAGGGACCCATTGTTCAGCCATACAATCAGCGTGTTGCTTCGGTTCAGAGCGTCCTTGATGTCGAGCAGCAGGAGGAAAGAATGCAGAAACCGCGTCGACACGCGCCTGCTAAGGGCCCTACTTGCGGACAAACTTTCTCCGACGCCACGTGTACAAGAGTGGCGCAGATATTTTGCTTCCGCTATTTCACACTGCAAGAATGGTGCGCCAGGTGCTCCCTGATATATGATTAGAGAAGGTGGTTGTTGTACATGTTTCGAGACTGAAACCAGCATGCTGATGGGCTTATTGCGGGTGCTCCCTGACTACTGCTTCCGAAAAAAAGAAGGCTTTCGATCAGATCTGTTGTGATGTGGCTTATTCTTTTAACGGATCTCAGGGGCGATTTGACCAAGGCACTGCAAGTCGGCCCATTCCAGTGAGAACAAGGTAATATTCATAACTTGGGGGGTGGCGCGAGCAGAGCTCGCACGGCCGATTCCCCCCAAATAGCACAATGTAGATCTTCAGTTTCACAAGTGTTGTATGTTTCTAATGAAAAAATCTGACATCTAATCTAATAATTAATTAATAGCTAACCCCCCCCCCCCCCCCCCCCC